ATTGGCTAATAACACAATACATTAATATTAGTGAACCAGGAATAAGTCAATTAAGAATCAATGGTATCTTTTTCATCAAATTTAGTGTGCTCAAGCCAGCAGTGTGCCCAGCAGCAGACATTTGAAGTGCAGACATTTGAAACTAATGAACTAAATGACATAAACCGAGGTAATATCAGCTATTATTCATATGCTGGTGTTCGTCTAATACACACTGCTAAGGAAGGGGCTACTACAGACTCTGAGTCATTTGCTGTATCTAGTTCTGGCCTGTATCTGGCTATATGGGACCAAGGATCTTGTACTGTCATTAATCGAATTGTTGTATTCTACAATGTCTGTCCTTATCAAGTATTGAATAAAGCTATCTATCCAGAGACAGTAGCTCCTCAAGGGGGCTTTGATCCAGATAAAAATGTGAATGCTACTTGCATTGATAATGCTAGTCCTACATCATCAAATAGTTTAAGTATAAGTTGTAGGATATTAGGATTGTGGATTGGATCAGCTTCATGTCAATGTAACACTGGATATGAAGCTAATGGTACAGTTTGTCAAGGTACAGATTTTTATTAATGCATGCTTAGTCTACTTTAGTGTTAAATGTTGAGGCTAAGCCCACATGTAGCAATTTGTAGCCACTTTGATCTTTAAAATTTATTTATTTTTTGTCACAGTAATCATTAATTTATGCCCACTGTAGCTTGTCAAGAAGGCACCTACAAGCCATTCACAGGAGACAGTGAATGTAATGGTTGTCCTGATAACAGTTACTCAGCTAGTCCTGGTTCTGTATCCTGCCAGTGTCTGTCTGATTATTATAGAGCACCTCATGAAGGTGTCGCTGTGAGCTGCACTGGTAAGTAGTGTGAGTATAATTTTAATCAACATGCAATGAATTATTTTTTAAATTTAGCTCCTCCTAGCTCACCTCAGAACTTAACAAATACTTCAGTCACAAAGACTATCATTAACATTTCCTGGCTAGAGCCTGCTTATACTGGAGGCAGAATTGATCTTTATTATGTCATCAGCATTAACAGCTCAATCAATGTCATTGAATATAGTACAGGACATACAAACTACACACTAATGGGATTAACTCCATTCACAACATATGAAATACAAGTGATTGCAAGAAATGGAGTGTCAGATCAAGACAATGCTAATGATAGCAGTAGAACTGTTACTATAACTGTCACTACTCTCAATCCCTGCAATGAAACCTGTTCATCTGGTTTCTATTTGAATCCTGATGGATGTACCTGTGGTAAAAAAACTAAATATATATTTATTATTCATAATAATGTTGATAGGTTCATGTGGAGTGTCTAATTGTTTAAGATGTCAATTGCTTAATTCCAGTTGTTGTACTCAGTGTCAATTAGGATATGAAATAAATGATTGTGAATGTGAGGCAGCAAGTAAGTGTAAATCATTTGTTTCCATGTATAAACATACCTCTTTTCTTCCTTTATCATATAGGTTCTTCATCATCAGTAGACGTTTATGAATCAGTTTCTTCTTCACTTGATTCATCAGTTACAAATCCACCCTCAACTGAAACTCCTCAGTTATCATCTTCAACGCTAACAATTGTAGCTCCTGTTGTATTTGTGCTAATACTCTGTGTTTGTATTATCATAGTATTTGTGATTGTGATAATTGTTAGGAGGAACAGAAAGAAGAAATTTGTAAATTTAGACTTGTGTCATGTTGGTAAGTGAAGTTGATAATATTTTTATGTAGATAATTTGTCCCCTTTAGATGACTTTAGAATTTCTCTGGATTTGAATTCAGCTTATCAAAGTAAAGCTCTTATTGTGATAAAAATTTATTATGAATTAAAGAAGTACATCATCAAAATGAAGAGACATCTACAGATGACACTGTTATGAAGCAAAAGTTGATCAAATATTTAATACCGTCTTCACAGATTGATATACAAGAAACCATTGGCCAAGGTTTAACATAGTGGTCAGTATAGACATTAACACTGTTTGCATGCATTAGGTGAGTTTGGAATTGTTTATAAAGCAACTATGAAAGCAACGAATAAAAGTCAACAAGAAATTGCTTTAAAAACACTCAAAGGTACAAGTAATACATAATAACTAATTTTAAAAATTTGGATAAATTTAGGAACATTTTCAAAGAGTGATGTCGATTGTCTTCTTGAAGAGTGCCTACTGATGTCAAACTTTGATAATCCTAATGTGCTGTCTCTCATTGGAGTGTGTGCTGACCTGGGATCAGCTCCAGGGATCATCATGCCTTATATGTCAAAAGGAAGTCTATTGTCTTATTTGCAGAAAGAGAAATCTCACCTTATAGTGGGAGCAACCAGTGAAGAAAGCACAGTGCTAAATGTTAGGAA